AGTATATATATGTATTTGGACCCCCTCCTTCATTCAAATTGTAATACTAATTTGAGTAAGAAAATTAGAGAAATTCAAGCCTTTATTAGGATGTAGTTATTGACTTGTTCATATAAATGAAGATTAACCGAATGATATGAAGTAGTGTTGTGAATTTGAAGTTATTAACTAAATCATATGCTTAGATGTTGAATCTCTACTTTAGTAGAAATTGCTTTATGGTGGGGACTTGTATAAATTTTCCAGATAAAAGAAGTGGGTACAAAGCAATTACCCTTGTTTTAAGCCAACTATAAATCACCTCGTGAAAGGTGATGCCCAGGGCCATCATGTTCCTTAGACATAATCAATGAAGCTTATATTTTATATACACAACATAGAAATGATTTCATAATAATAATAATAATAATAATGAGAGTTCATGGTGGAGGTGTTTGCATCTACAATGCAGCTTCTCACTAATTCAGGAGCTTCAAATGTGAAGCAACCTGTACTGTACACACTCTTTTTTTTTTTTTCCCTTGAGTCTTAAAGTTGACGGTCGGATAAATCTGTAGTGACTACCTTTTATTAGTAGTGTAGAGATTAGAAGTCAAAACCTCTTTAGTAATACACTCCAAAATTCCAAACGAATAGTCAAACGAGCTAGACGTAATTTTACATTACCACTTACAAATACATTAATTGAATACAAACCATACAGTATAGTCTCATTGCTTCGGGTTTTCACACCTGTAGACATATCAGACAGGACCACCATTTAGTAGCTTAAGAAACTAGGGCATTAACCATAGTTACTATAGTTGGTTAAATGTCCGAGATCGAATGATAGTAAAACGGGGTAAGAGCTCGATTAACATAAGCATTTTTTATCTAAAATACGTCTATTAATATCTATTTACGAGCATGTCTATTTATAAATCAATCTAAAACTTTGAAGTGGGTGTGGTTGATTTCACTTTCATTCCTTTTAAATGTTACCTATTCCATTATTCATTCATACCAACCATGAATCAATTCCTTTTACTCATTCCTTATGTATTCAAAAAAGAAAAAGGGCACTGTTGAAAAATCCGATATAATTGTAGAATAGCCCTGCAAACTCTGTATGTATGATTTGTGGGGACTCCGTTAGATTCTTCTTCTTCTTCTGTCATCTCCATTCAACCCCACAAAATTGCATCCAAATCCCCATCCCCTTTCCATCATCCTCCCACAAAATGAGGCATACGTATATTTCCATTCTATAGAATTTTTCAAAACTCTGTTTCGACGTAAGAAAAACGTGTTATGATGTGTGGTGAGCAATCTGTTTCTTTGACTAATCAGTAATATGACCTTCTAACTATACAAACAAATTTGTATTAACAAGAAATTGAAAATCAACAAGACTTAATGAAGAAAGTTTGCAGATATTGATAATGAGGACATGGTTTTGGGTTAAGGACCAAAAAGGGTAATTAGGGCTTAGTTCGTTTTGCTTTTGGGAATACTATTATTAGTATTCCCAAAAAAGTTAAACAGTAAAATGTCATTATTCCCAAAATATTATTCTATATTTTTCAATTTCTTTTAAACTTCTTAAATTTATTAATTTAACTAAACACCCTTAAATATTTTACATTACCCCTAAATTGTTGTCGGCTATCCGTATTTAATGAATGGGTTAGAGGTATTTTTGTTAAATTTTAATATTTTATTATAGGGGTGTTTAATAAATAAATAAACATATGTGATATTTTTATCAATTTTTAAATCTTATATCTTAATATCTGTCCAATTTAACTTTTTTAAAAAGATTATTCTGAAAATTAGTAGAGTAATGAGCCAAACCGAGCCTAGGTGTCCAGGCTGTTCATTTTGACCTTTTAATCTTTTTCGCCAATCACGCTGGTTTACCCTGTCGCCTCTTGTAATCATAATCTTTTATATTATAATATAATTAGTGTTTATAAATTAATGTTGAGTTGTTGACTGAAAAAGTTGATAAAATAAAATAAAAATTTAATTTAAATACTGTCAAGTTTCTGATTATTAGTCACTTTCAAACTCAAGAGAGGAACAGCAAAGTTTCTAATGCTTGTGTTTCACTGATGTATATATAATTTGTGAAGCATTTTGCTTGCTCATTCATTACCTAACAGATGGGTTTGGGTTGATTTGGAGCCTCCGTTTGGAGTTCGATTTGATGGGGTTTTCTTAGGGGTTGGTGGGTCCAAGTACACCCAAAATCAAAGAAATCGAAATCCATAAGTTTCTTTGATTTGGAATCGGAACTAAAACTAGAACTATCGGTTCTAGTTCCTAAAAACTTGAAACCAAAACCTGTGTTACAGGTTTCGGCTTCGAGTACTAAAAAAATATCAATTACTCTTTATTTTTTTAAAATGACAAATAAATCCTTATAGAATTACATTATACCCCTAATAGTTTTCTAAAATGACAAATACACCCTACAAACTTTACAAAAATTACAACTATTCCAATATCCATTTCATCCTCCCAAAATTAAAACTACATAACACATTAAATTACACATTAACATAACATAATAAGTTAATAACATATCAAGCTTCGTCCTCTCAAAATTATACTTTGATATATATGCTCATATGATGTTAATTTTATTATTATTTAAATAATTTTTATGTAATACAATGTAAACGATGTTTTAAGTTTTAAAAACTTAAATATAAATACCAAGTTAATTAAAATGTTCTATTGAAGAATATAATGCGCTAAATGTAGATTTTAAAGTGAAAAAGTATTGACACGTGACATAGGAATAAACAAAAGTTATTTAATTGGACATATGGGTAATTGTTGTTACGGCATAATAATGATAATATTATCAAAATAATTTAAACAAATTATTCATACATTTTTTATCAAGTAAAAAGTAAAAAAAAAAAATTAACTTTCTTAATTCACTTAAGTGGCGTTTGATAATTTATTTGACGACTAAATATGTCTAACTACGGGATAGGCATAAGACTTAAGTGTAAAACATTAAATAATATATTTGTTTATATTTACTTGATGTTTAATTATAAGTATTTAATTGTTTGTTTTCACCGATAATAAACATTTAAAAGCTATTATTTATCATAAATGTCTTAATGTATATTAATTTCTTAATCAAACAATAAGTGAAATTTAAATATTAATAAGAATATTTTGAAGAATTTATCTTTTAATGAAAATTAATAAGACTTTTGATACTAAGATAAAAAAGAAAACCAAAATTTTCTTATATATTTATATAACATGAAAAATATCAAACCCCCCTACATGCAAAATATATATATATATATATATATATATATATATAATATATATATAGAATATATAATAATATAATATATATATATATATATATATATATAACTCTATTATTTAATATTATCTCAATTTAGTCTTAGTTTCCAGTTTTGAATCTAGTTCCTTTGATTTGGAACCAGAATCGAAACTATACAGTATTGGTTCCAATTTTTTGGAATTGGAATTGACCCTATTACCCAGAACCAGAATCGACACCTGAGTATCCGTCGATTCCAGTTTGACCCTACAATTTTGCCCACCCCTAGGTTTTGTTGTGTTTTGGAGTGCATTTGATTTGTTGATTCGTTGTGGGTTTTTTCTGGCTGTTTTTGGCCTTTGACTTTCCTTGCCAGTACTGTCACCCACCACTTGCTCGAAGGATTGCCCAACCAACTCCCAGTTAGCACTGTGCGCAACTCTCCCTAGAGCCATAAAGCCGCTGAAATCCCACGATTGGCATGATTGGTGGAGGTGGGGTAAGAGGGGTTTTGGTGTGTGAGGCATGAGGAAGAGATGGTGGTAGTGGGGAAAGCCGGCGTCACCGAAAAACGAAGGAAAAAGCAAGTGACGACGTTTGCTAAAGTGTGCCACCTCTTGCTAAAATGTGCCCTCTAATAATTGGGGGGTTAGAAAAGTAATTTACTAATTCGGGCTAAAAAAGTAACAAAGGTGTTGGTTTAAAGGTGAAAATTTGGAATTTATAAAACCAATGTTGGAAACTCGTTATTTCGCTATTTCGCCAAAACTTTGGTGGGACATGTCTTTTACTCCTTATTTAGACGTCTGCACTGGCCCAACTTCTGTTGATCTCTGCTAATCCATAAGAAAAGTGAATGCTTAAGTTTGATGGGCTCTTATTTTAACTTCACTTATTCGTTAGATTAAAGGAAATTCATTTTTTAACAAATTTTATGATAATAAATTTATTTCTATATTAAATTATTAAAATTAACTTAAATTTTATATTATTTATGAATATTTTTAACACCCAATTATTATTTTTATGAGAATGAATAATAAAGATTTGTTTGAGATATGAGATTGTCTGCAGTCACATATAATTTATTGTTATCTTTTTCTTCAAATAGTTAGTAACTATTTTAATTTATATATTTTTTCTATTGTTAATTATATTATATTCTTGGGATTATTGGTAAGAAATTTTTTTAATTTTAGTTTAATTATCTAGAAATTTACCGTAGGAGTAAAAATTATGAGAGGCATGTAACATAAGTTAAATGAATGAAATGTTAACTCTTTCAAAAAAAATTTCTGTAAATATAATATTATTGAAAAAATAAATATGAAGGGAAGGTCAAACAGCGTCTCTTGATGTTGCATGACGCTTTTATTTTTAATTTATTTTATGTCCTTTAATATCCATCTGTCACTCGAACCTATACCTTAGCGTCACTACCCAATTCGCCACGTGGATACCCTATTTCTTACAAGGCATCCAACGTGTCACCACTTGGCTTAATCTTAAACCCTTAAGTCATTTTCCAAATAATTCAACGTCTTAGATTAACCTCAAACGCGTGTCTGAAATGCCAGGAAGTGTGGAAAACTGCAACCCATCACGGGGCAGCGTGCGGTCCAATTAGAGAAACCCACGTATGTTTTCTTTCGACAAGAAGGAAAGTCTCTTGTCTCCAACCGTGGAAATCTCAAAAGGTAAAGCTGTCTTGGGGTATAAAGTTTCAGCAATGGAAGCATTGACACAAATTGCATGTGTATCCGGTGCTGGAATGGATACCCATCACCACTCCCGTTGGAATGAAAATAGAGTTCATTTAAAGTTAGAATACAGTTTTTGGTAGATTTAAGATTTCTTATGTCCTTTGGGCTTTGTGTTCAGTATGCTCTCAAAATTGAAGAAGGATGTTGCACTGTATGCATTAGTGGGTTCACCGCATTGGATGTGCCTCGCCCACAAGGTCCCCTCTGGTACGTCATTGTAATATTTGTTTATGGCAACCTTAAACCTTCATTTTGAGGCTAATATAACGAAGCTTGCATACAGCACCATTCACAGCTATAGTATTATTTGATGTATGATAGTTTGTGTGGATACAGGATTCTTGGAGATATATTCATGGGGGCATATCATACAGTTTTTGACTATGGTAATCTAAAGATAGGATTTGTAAAAGCTGCATAATAATCCTTAGATTTGTGGTCACTGCTTTCCAGAGATCAGTTTAGCTTATAGTAAAAATAAAGGTAGTTGAATTGAAAGAAATTAAAGATGGAAAAGTACTTGTATTTCCAAGTATTGATGTTAGTATATGTGGAGAAGATGTATGCCATTTCATTGTAAAGTAGTGCAAGTGGCAAGAATGAGAGTTAAATTTTGTTATTAATTAACTGATACATGCCTCAAATGCATATGCATATAAATCAAAAGTACAAAAATATTGACATACCCGGGTTAGAAAAAGTTTTGCACCAGCCGGGAATGAGCAAGGCAAAGTTTCAACTTGTTAAGTCATATTCAGGATAAGTATCATCAATTTCTCTTTGTTTTAACTCTTTTGTTGCTCGAAAGAAGGTAGCTCAATCTAAATTGAAGCATCAACATTAGATAGAGAAATTCTTAAATTTGTGCTGGTTCACTTAAAAAACGTAAAAAGAAAAAGAAAAAACAGTTTTTTCTTTGTTCAAGTCTTTCATTATCTGACATTATAACCTTGATATCTTGACAGGATAAAAGAACATCCTACTCGTCTCAATCTCCAAATATAATAAAAAAAACAAAATCTTAGTCTTCACAGCCGGTTTCTGCGTATCTTCTACAACAAGTCAGTGTCTCTTGTTATGGGAGTTGGTCATCCGGAGAAAAACTTTCAGAGCCAGATGGATTTGATATGCTCCCGTGGACGCTTGCCATGTTTCGTCTGATCTCTTTGTCGTCTTTAATCAGTAGTTTCTGAAACCAAAATTCCCAAACATATCAAAAAAAATTAAATAATAAGCTTCTTAAGAAAATGAATAAATTTATAAATTAAAGCATACCCTTGGCCCACGAGTCCAACGGAATGGCTTAGAGGATAGATCTACTTCTTGGTCGTGAACACCGTCATAATGGAAAGGCCCTTTTTCTCCATCTCCCACATCTATGATCAGAGATCCATACAGCCTTGCTGATCTTTGCATCCCAAAGTGTCCATGGTAAACGTATATTCCTGCCTGTACCCCATCCATAAATATAAATGGGTAAATCTAGAGTTGAAGAAATAACAAAGACTGAACATGTAAAGAAGAAAGTCTTACCTTGTTAACTTTGAATCTGTAAAGAAAAGTTTCTCCAGGGTTGATGGAAGCAATCCCATCTGCCCATGGTGTTGGTGTTCCAAGCTGTGAGCCAACCAACAAATATATTATATAACCAAAAGAATAAACATACATGTTCTCCGTCAAATTAAAAGAAAGAAAGAAAGAGAAAAACCTTTGTGATTCCATGCCAGTGAATCACAACTCCTTCAGTGTGTAGTTTGTTAGTGACCTCAACAGAAATTGTATCTCCAGCTTTAGCTCTGATGGTTGGCCCTGGAAACTGCCCATTAATTCCCACCACGCAATCTGGAATTCCAAACATGTACTCCACTTCCCATTTGAAGTGCCTTTGAACCAAAGAGAAAGATGAAAAAGATTTCAGAAGGATGAGAGAGATGAAAAAGCGAATGGTTGTATTTCTGAAGACTTAATTATTGGTGTATACTCATACGATATTTACATACTCCAAAGAAGACTTAAGATTATATAGATCAACAAATAAATAATATATTTTATTAGAGGAAAACCGATGAGAACGCAGTCCCAAAACTCAACCAAAACAATAAAACAATAACAACCAACAATCAAGAAATAAGAAGAAAATAGAAATGAATATTGGGATTCAACAAACTTATGACAATGGCAGCCAAATAACAAAATATACCCAACACATCAACCAAAACAATGCTAAACTTGGAGGGCTTGCGCCTCCCTAATTACTAACTACGAGGGTTACTTCTTCTCAAATTTCTCTATATTATTCTCCGTCTCTATCTCTATATTCTTCTCTGCTCTCTCCGTCTCTCTGTCCCTATATGAATTCCTTTGCTGTCCCAACCCTTAATCGCCACCTGTCCTAACCTAAACCCATGAAAGTTTTCTGCCAAAATCCCCTCCATCCACAACTTGCTATTTTATTTCACTTTTTCTACACCATCATTGTCCAGGTCCCATCATTCCCCTCCCCAAGCATTATCACCTTGTCCTCAAAGGTAGGAAGGTGGAGATTGTTTACACGACGCCACCCGGTTCTTCACTAGTTCACCATCCTTCGCTTCTTTACCCAACTCTTCCTCGTCTTCTTCATCGACCAAAATTATTGGAAATTGTTTTTCTCCGCAAGGGTTCCCGGAGAGAATTTGGCGCCACATCGGAAACAGAGCCCTTTCTCTTTTTTCCATTGAATCTCATCTTACGTCATTCGCCGGAAAGGGGGTGATCTTTGTGGAATAAAACTGGAATCGGACGGCCGATTCATTGTTGTACTCGAACTCCGGTAACTAAAGGCTGTCGTGGCACCAGATGGTGCCTCTTCCCAAGATCGGCACGCCAGCGAGGAGTTGCCGGAATATCTCGGTTGATCGATGAAGGGGAACGGCCTGAAGTTATTTGCGATCTAATTTAAGTTTGATGGGACCCTTGACCCGTTTTCTGTTGACCCAGTTTCTCTACCCGGCCCAAACCCAGCTGCATTAAAAGCTTTGCCCACCCTCAAAACAGTAAAACAATAACAGCAAGAAATAAGAATATGTGTTTGATATTCAACAAACTAATACCAATGGACAATGGTAGCAAAACAACAAAATATATCAGCACATCAACCAAAAGATAAAATCAAAATATGAAAAGAACAAACTGAAACAATGGCAGCAAAAAACAAAATATACCCAGCACATCAACCAAAAGATAAAATCAAAATACGAAAAGAACAAACAGAAACAATGGCAGCAAAAAACAAAATATACCCAGCACATCAACCAAAGGATAAAATCAAAATATGAAAAGAACAATGCTAGACTTGGAGGGCTAACTCCTCCTTAATTGCTAACTCCGAGGGTTAGCTCCTCCCAAATTTCTTTATATTCTTCTCTGCCTCTAATATGCTCTCTCCCTCTCTTTTTATCCTCCAGCTCTCTCTTTCTCTCCCTAACTGAATTCCTTTACAGTCCCAATCCCTAATCGCCACCCATCCCGGCCTAAACCCATTGAAGTGTCCTGTCAACATCCTCTCAATCCCTACTTGCTACCTTATTTCATCTTTCTTACACCATCATTGTCCAGGTCCCATCAAAAAGCCAGACGGATTCTTTCTTTTTTTGGGTAAATGGTAATTTATAAAGAATAAGAAAAAAGATACAATCTGCCTAAACAGGGGATCCCCTTTACATCTCAAATCCTCGGACATACCCAGAGGCAAAAAATAACAGACCAAGAGCACAAGCAGCAACCAGCATGGGAAACAACAGAACAAGGATTCCAAAAAGAGTCTAACAGCTAGGCCCTAGCGAGATGATGAGCCAAGCCAAAACGCAAAAAAACATATCTCCAAAGTATTCTTTCTTTGTTGAAGTGTAGAGTGAAAAGACCTTACCTCTGAACATGTTGAACGACGGCTTCTGGAACAGGGTCTCGATGAGGAAGAGTGGGGGTGTAGGCAATAGAAGAGAAAAAGAGCCACAAGCAAAGACATGTAGAGAACATGTAGGTGATTAGACGCATTTTTAAAGAGACTGGCAATAATGGTGAAGTTCTTGTCTCTTTTTTGCCTCTGTAAAGTTCTGAATTGCTTATGTCTTCCAAACCCAGGAGGGTGCACGTTTTAGGAAACATAGAAGTGGGTTTATATAATAAAAACAAAGACAATAATTGCCTGACTTATCTTTTCGCTAAACCTTGGGTGGGTACGTGTTTGCTCTACTTTTAAAAATAACAAAGGTCGGCACTGCATAAAAGAAAATTAGTGTCATCTGGAATGGACTAGTGTCATCTGGAATATGATCAGGAATATGTTGACACTAGTTTTCTATATTTTAGTATGAAATTATTCAATCATTGAAAATTATCATGAATAAAGATAATTGATAATATATTATATTAACGTAGAATTTTTTTTACCAAATCACAAAAAATTATTTATTATAATCAGATTTTTCTATTTACTATAATATAATTTTTATTTAATTAAATGAAAATTGAATTTTTATTGGTTTTAAATATTGAGCGTAGAATTGAAAATTATTTATTATAGTTATGTAAGGCTGCAACAATTTGTTCTCCCCATAGTTTATTATTTCTGATATAGAGAATGATCACTTTGTCAAACTGTAGTGTCAGAAAGCAACGTTGTTGAATGATATGCTGTCGTGCGTATAAAGTATGTTTTTGTGACGCCTTGTGACGTCTGGTCAACTTTTACACTTACCCATCATGTGATCATGTCACGGCCCACCAAATCAGAAAACTGAATTACATATTCCAGATTAACTTATCCTTTTGCGAAGAATCAATTCTACCGTTGTTAAACAGCTAACCGTACCCATCATCCGGTTGCAGACAGTTTTTCAATTGAATATGGAATATCTCTCTTAAGTGTGTTAACTAATCCAATCAAACTTTATAATATGTATAGTTTATATAATTCATATTCCCATTTTAACTAAATTTACATTTACTATATTATAAAAAAATAAAAAAAAAAACAAAACAAAACATATAAATCTTCAAGAAATTTTAAGCTACAAATCAATACCGCTGGAGGCTGGCTGGACCAGCAAATACTGATGTCCCTGAGTCCACAATGGCTGCGCAACCATGTTCACACAATCCTGAAAATTTTGAACCATAACACTTTAATTGGGAAGCCAAGAAAAAGAATCATGAATATCTTAAAGACGTTTAATTCCTAAACATATTACTCGATAACCAAATCAGTCATTATTAAACATAAGTTCAACACAGTGGGAACTTAACCTGTAGAATTGTTTGCAATAAGAATATCTCCGACCTCAATCTGAAAAGAAGAATGGATTTGAGGTTAAATTCAACCTTTGTATAAGTAGGAGAATGGTTAAAAAACATTACTCTTGGCCGACCTGCCAATAGCCCTTTTTAGTAATAGGAACATAGGTATGGTCACCCCTGAAATGCTTCCAATCAAAACCTCCAAAGACAATCTCACCCCCCACTTTTGAATCTGGATCTCGATTGAGCCAGAAAGAGAAGAGTTGCTGGCTCACATGACCTTGTTGTATCATATTATACCTGTAGATACAGCAATAAGAGCAGGGTTTAAAGATAGAATTGAAGAGAAATATATCACGTACTTTAAGTAACGCAAAGTAGTGTGCGCATTCAAAAACTATAGCTTTTATGTTTGCTCATACCCACAAATTAAGGCAAATTCATAAAGATAACTCATACCCATGTATTCCTTTTATATTGTGTCATAATAAAGTGGGTATGACCAAGGTTTAAAACTTGACCCAAGAAGTGAGCTGGTCAGGTCACTGGGTCATTGGGTTGGTCGGTCGAATCGATTTAATCACTGGGTTGAATTGTAATGTCATTATGCTGTTAGGTTCAATTGTTGTTCAATCTGGGTCATTTAAAAATTCCAGTTTTTTAGTTGAACCAACCAGGCTCGATCGCCGATTATTCGGTTCAACCGATTGAACCCGTAGGGTCGGGCTGAGTTTTAAACCATGTGTATGACAATCCCAAGGGATTGGCTTAACAGTCAAAAAAATTTATTTAATTCTTTGAGTTCTTAGGTTCAAACTTTAGGGTTACGTATAACAAAACATTGTGTTTTATCTGATTTTTTTGGCTTATAAGATATTTAATAGACTCGAGAATTAATTGAATTGATTTTATTTAACGTAATACATTATAAGGCTCATTATTAATTTAGAAACTCACGGGCCATGAATTCCATGTGACCAGATTAGTCTTGAATGGACCGGATTTGACGCATGCATTATGCTAGATGTGGAATTTGTTGCAGACTTTGCATCCATTTTATGCCAGATGTGGAATTTGTTGAATTGTTACAGATAAATTATAGTTCACATTGGCTCTTGAATCTTTCATCACCATTAATCAGTTTTGTATTTATCTGCTTGATTGTGTACACATTTGATATATCTTTGTGTTGCTGAAATTGGCGGTGTCTGTGTGCAATGTTTTGTTTGGTATTAGTCAACTAAATAATTAATTAATTTTGATTAGTTGAGGCATTTGCAATCGATTTATCTAATAATAATAATTAATAATTGAATAAGCTTTAACTTAACTGGTAAATAAATAAATGGTTGGACATAGTTACTATGGGCTTCCACCTCCACCATTTTGTGATTCTGGTTCATCAACACAAAAATAAAAAATTAATAAACATAACAAACATTTACTGTTCTATCTTAATCTATTAATTTATTGTGTATCACATCTTAAGCTAACAAAATTTGAAATTATTTTTTAAGGTTGTTTTAATATATGTGTTTTAGGACATATTTTAAGAGATTTACCTATTCAGATATAATTTTTAATGCATCAAAGTGACATAGACAACCCTATTTTTTAAATGAAAGTCTATCAATTGGTTATTTTATTAATTTATTTGGCTGAAAGTTGAACTGGATATTTGCACCAATTGGTTCTAAAAGGCTGGCTGTTGAATTACATCAGTAGTTGGACAGGAATTTATGCAACCCACTTTAAATCAGACGACTCGTAATTTTGTTACATCCATACCATACAACCCAATCACTCACCGCTTCATAATTTGGGTATGGCAGTTTTCAAATCTCTACATACAATCGAAATTTGTGGAGGGGAAAAAGGTTTTTGCGTTGGAAGTTGTTGTACGTTACCAATGAAGCCCACCTTCCTATGGAAAAAAGGTTTTCTAATGAAAATTACTTGAACATTTGCCTATTCTATTGCTCATTATGGTTGTTTCCATCAAGTATTAACCAACCATAAAACATTATATTATTGCAAATGTTTTCACAAATTACCAATGAAATAGATTACAAAAATCTAACACAAAATTTTAAAATCAGTTGGACATTGTTGCCAACTTACAAACATTTTAACCATTAAGTAGAGCTAAATTAAAACCAACATATATACTATCTGTCTCATCAATTGGAAAAGTAAAACTTGTGATGCTGAGTCGGCGAGAGGTTTGAAGAAACGTTGGTCAGAATACTGAGTTTGAATTTTCCTCTTTGCTTGTACAATTAGCTAGAGATCCGTTTACAATCACAATTTGTGTGTTAGAAAAAATATATAGATTTAGTCATATGATGTCAATATGCTGCAAGTTAACTCATTTAATTTAATTCCATATTAATTCAACAACTCTTTTGAGCATTTGATTGAATTTTCAGATGAGCGACTGCAATTTTCTAGGATATTACAGTCGCATATCGAGAAGTGTACCCATTAAGGTTATGATAAAATAGACATAAAAATTTAAATGGCTCGATTAAGATTAAAGGATTAAGCTTTTGAATATGCATTTGTTTTTAAATATGGCTTAAATCTAATTAATTTTGTTTCTTATTATAGGGAGTCGTCCATACCTTCCTCACCGCTATTAGAGAGAGTCGAAAGAGCAAGTTTGTCAAATCTCCTTATACCGTAATAACGTATAGAAATAAGAGGAAAATAAAGAAAAAAAATTGAGGAATTCCATGAAAGTGGAGAAGCAAAAATAGAGAAGGAAAATAATAATCCATTGGTTGGAAAGTAGATCCAGTGGATTATTATGTTTTTTCATTTCATTTCTTTGTTTTACTAATCTCACTCTCACGTTGCATGTCTTCACATTTCCAAGCTGACATTGTTTTTTATTGCCATATACATCACAGGTAATGCCATGTTGGGGGAATTTTAAATTTTTAATGTTAATACTTATATTAGTATTTATACATATAATATTATTTTATACATCACATTTGACCAGAAGAGGCAAAATTCCAAACGGAACAGTTAAGCCATTTACGGACACGGCCATCACCCTCCAATTTGCAATTATTTCCATTCATTTAATACTTTTTAGTCAAAGATCTTTGTTATAACTTTTTTATTATTTTAATAATTGGACTTCAATATAAATGGTATAGGAAAAAGTCTGTTGAAACTTTTGAACATGCTAACAACCACATAACGGTACTTTAAAGAGTCCAAACCTCTGTTTTATAATGATCATTAAAATCTCTCTTAAATCAATTTAGTCTTCTATTACTTTTTTCTGCTCCCAAAAGTCAAGAAGTGGGAAGTTTTTTTCTAGTCTAAAGTTAGTTGTACTTAATCGCTTAAGCAAGTACAAATCGCTTAAGCGACCAAGGGTAAAAGTGGAGCATCGTTTAAGTGATCTTAAGATTTGTTTGTAAGTGATCGATTAAGTGATAGTATCAAATTGCTTAAGTGAGAAATGAAATCTCTTAAACGATCTAGTGTATTCGAATTATTTGTATTGTCTTTCACAAGATCGCTTAAACGATTAACACTATCGTTTAAGCGATGAAAGCTTATCAATACTGGATCGCTTAAGCGATTCCCTTTTTTTTTTTTTTTTTTTTTTGTAATAGGTTTTCCCCTATTGATTTGATTATTTATATCACTTAATCAATTTTTTTTTTAAAATTAAATTAGTTATTTTATATCTATATTAAACATATATGATGTAGAATGTTTGCGTCTATATTAAACATATATAGTGTATGATTAGTTCAGTGGACCAAGATATGTCTTGTGTCAATTGATTTGATTATTTATATCACTTAATCGATTTTTTTTTAAAATTAAATTAGTTATTTTACGTCTATATTAAATATATATAGTGTAGAATGATTGCGTCTATATTAAACATATGTGGTATACGATTAGTTTAATGGACCATGATCTGTCTTGTGTCAATTGATTTGATTATTTATATTACTTAATCGATTTTCTTTAAATTAAATTAGTTCTTTTACGTCTATATTAAACATATATGATGTGACATGTTTACATTTATATTAAACATATGTGGTGTATGATTAGTTCAGTGGACCATGACCATAATTATATTTTAATTAGATTAGTTCTTTTACATCTATATTAAACATAGTCTATAAACATGGAAAATAAATATTGAAGTAAATTACCCTTAATCGCTTAAACAATATAAGGTGTCGCTTAAGCGATCCCGTCTATTTAGCCTTAGTCTCTTAAACGATATATATTTTCACTTAAGAGATCCTATCTATTTAGCCCTAGTCGCTTAAGCGATAATAAATCGCTCACGTAGTCTTGTCAAATGCAGAATAAAAGGTCATCCGAGTACAGTGGATCGCTTAAGCAATCCTAGGTCTCTCATAAGCGATTCAGTATGTTCAGAGTCAATCGCTTAAGCAATCTAGTATGTTCAGAGTTAGTGGCTTAAGCGATCACTTACAAGCGAGGATCAAGATCACTTAAGCGATGTTTCACTTTTACCTTTGGTCGCTTAAGTGATTAATGATCATTTAAGCGATTATGTACAAAGCAGAATCAATACGTGCTCAGGTGCACGATCGCTAGTAAATCGCTTAAGCGATTTACGATTTTACCCTTGGTTGCTTAAGCGATACAAAATCGCTTAAGTGATCAAGTCCGAGGCAGAATCAAGATCTGTTCAGATGCACGATCGTTTAAGCGATTTATGGTCTCGCTTAAGCGATTCTTTGCTTTTACCCTTAGTTGCTTAAGTGATCAAGTTCTAGGCAGAATCAAGATTTGCTAATTACGGTCTCGCTTAAGCGATTCTTCGCTTTTACCCTTGGTCGCTTAAATGATTCTGGATCGCTTAAGCGATTAAGTCCGAGGTAGAATTAATATATGCCTAGATACACGATTGCTTAAGCGATTTATGTCATCGCTTAAGCGATTCTTGGTTTTTCCCCTTAGTCGCTTAAGCGATCAAGTCCATGCTAGTACAAATATCTGTCCAGATGCATGATCGCTTAAGGGATTTATTTTCTCGCTTAAGCGATCCTTTATGAAAAACCCTTTGATGCTTAAACGATATATCTAGTCGCTTATATATCGCTTAAGCGATCATGGGCTATACATATTTTTTCCAACTTTTCTCTTGAATTTTGACAAACTAAAATCACCAACACATATTTAATTCCATACTTTCTCTTGAATTTGACAACCTAATTGCATCAATACATCAAGGCCATGTAACAAGAATACTAAATATAAAGGATGATTTATTCAAGGTAACAATAAAATTTAAAACATAACAATAACTCCTCAATGGTTGGCCTTGGCAACTCTCTCGATTTAATCTTTCTTCGAACCTAATTTTTTAGATCTGTATATGATTAATTCTGACAACTACTTCTCTTGTGACTAGGTTACTTGTGAATTAAGACCTCATTCATCCTCCGGGGACTTCAGAGTTACCTTCACATGCAATTTGTGTCAATGCTTCCATTGCTTAAACTTTCTACCCCAAGAGAGCTTTGCCTTTTGAGAGATTTCCACCTTTGAAGACAAGAGACACTGTTTCTTGTCGAAGGAAAACATACGTGGGTTTCTCTAATTGGACCGCACACTGCCTTGTGATGGGCTCCAGCTTTACACACTTTCTCGCATTAATGCTGCCTCAGTGGTTTGAGGACCAAAGATTTTGTCTTTCCAGCCGGAGGGTCCCTTATATTCATTCCAATTATTTAAGAAAATAGAGTAATACGACCTTCTACATATTTGGTTTAGTATTTTGGATAGGATTTTAGGGATAGTATTGGGTTATTGGATATGGGAGTATTACGAGATAAATTTTAAAAATTTGTAAAAAAGCCCTTAGGTTTACTAATTTAACTAAAGACCCTAATATATAAAATGACAAAAACACCCCCACCACCTGCAGTGTCAGATTCCGGCCACCACCGCCGGAATCTGGCCGAAAAATTTTGTTACGGCACAGACTAGTCGGATCTGTGCTGTAACACGTCGTTATGACCTTTTCCGGCCAGATCCATAGTGGATCTGACCGAAAAAGGCTAGATCTACGGTCTGTTATGGCCGTCGACGGCCGGAAAAGGCCAAACGAGGGCCATCTTAAGATGTGGCCGTCGTTTTCGGTCAACGACGGCCATTTCTTTGGCCGTTGCTGACGGCCAGATCTGGCCTTTTCCGGCCAGATCCTTTTTGGATCTGGCCGTAAAAGGCCACATTGGTGTACTTCTGGCCATTTCTTTTTGGAAGTTAGGCCGTTGTACAGATTCCGGCTATCACCGACGGTGGTTGCCGGAATCTGACAAGTTGGGTTGATGGGGGTGTTTTTGTTAATTTTTAAACTTTTTTTCAGGGGGTATTTAGTGAAATTAATAACCTTATGGGGTTAAAATGTAATTAAAAAAAATAGGGTAATATTTTTAGAATATTGTACCAAACATTATTTGGAGAATAGGATCCAGAATAGGGATAAAAATATTAAACCAAACATGCAGATCAATATTTATTATTAAAACATAGAAGTAATCACCGTACATTATCAATATTTATTATTAAAACATAGAAGTAATCACCGCACCTTCTATATTATCAATAGTTATTATTAATTTTAAAAGATTATCAAAATTTTATATTATTTAACAATCAAACATAATAATTAAATAATATAAGATAATATTATTTCAATAATCTCTCATTATCTATAACCAAACACATCCTTAGTGTCCCATTGATGGGAAGATTATTAAAGATAATATTTCTTTATTCAATTTTTTTATAATTAAAATCCAGTGTTTGAAATTAGACATTCCTGGAAAATAACATTTTTTTACCATATTGGTGTTCATGGGAAGGCTTGAATCTGTCCATTTTATAGTAACATAAAATTTTTTAATCGTTTCTAATCTTACATTAATTTTTAGAATTGTATGTGAAAATTGTTTTCGAAAACGTTTCCACCCAGTTCCACCAAACGTATTTTTATCAGGTCCGTTGTTGTTTGGTTTGTAGGGAGGCAGGGAGAGAATTGAGGGGGTGTACTTAAAAGAGACTGGAGGTTTATTTAGAAGTCAGGACTGGCCCGCCCAACTTCAGTTGATCTCTGAATGTCCAACTTTGATGGGCTCTTATGTAGGGTTTATCGTCACCTCACTTTTTTAATAAATTTTGCAACAATAAATTTATTTTTATTTTAAATTATTAAAATTTAATTTAATTTTCCATTATTTACAAATATTTTTAACACCCAATTATTATTTTATAAACTTCAATTTTTTTTTTTTTTGAAGATTTAATAATAAAAATAGGATTTGAAATATGAGATTGCTCGCAGTCACATGTAAATTTATTGTTATTTTTTTCTTCAAATAATTGGGAACTATTTTAATCTACATTAACATCTCTCTATAATCATAATGGTGAGGCTAACTAATTTTATTACTATGAAGAGGTTACAACTTAATAGAGGTATAGTTACAAAAATTATTATTTTATAATTCATGTTTTAGTAGTATAGTATTAGGATTTCAATTTATATTTTAGTAGTATTATAATTTCAATTCAGTGCTTCAATTGCCTACTTTTGAAACGAATAAGTGTCATTGATAGAACTGTAAATGTAGTTGATGCATGGTCAATTGATGTGAAGTCACAAACTACCAATGGTTTTAAGCACTGCAAAATTAGGACCCAAATGTTGATGAATTGCAAGTTATAAATGAAGTGGATGAGGAGAATAAAAGAGTTATTGCAAAATTAAGGGATCAGATTCGACATCTTCACTACACTAATCAAATGGATATTAATGTCTTCCTCGATCATCCAAATGAACAACAAATCATATATACTTTAACGAAAGAAGAAATTATTACTGTAATTAGACAAGAAGAGAAAAGAAATAATCCTCAGGATGATAGTACAGAAATACAAAAAGTTTATTGCTATAAAACTCTAAACATGCTTGAGAAGCTAAAAATATTTTTGCTTCAACAAGAAGGTGTCCAATCTAGCGATGTATTACGTACTTGTAAGATAAAAAATGTGAAAACAATTTTAAAGCATAAATCATTGTCACAAACAATTTTAGATAAATATTTTATTTAATCTTAAATATTTAATGTAACATAACATATATTTATTTGTAATATACAGATAATTACTCCTATGTAGAGGCAACTTTCATTAAGGCAGGAATTAGAAAAATTATAACTTATTACAATGTGGAGTTTATTCTTATTTATAATTATCCCAAACTGAGACTATAATTTTTTATGACTATGTAGAATTTATTCCTATATAGAGTATCACTATAAAGATGTTTTATTGTACTATTTATTTATGTTGTTTAATTGTATTATGTCTTGGGATTATTTATAAAGATTTTTTTTTTTTTTAACTTCTAATTTTATTATCTAGAAATTTGCCTCAGGAGTAAAAATGGTGAAATGAACCAAATGTTAACTCTTTAATTTTTTTTTAAAAAAAAAAAAAGATAAAAAATAAACAAAAGGAATAAATGGTATTTAAGAACGAAAGGGTTTTTTTAAATGAAGGTCCATATAATTTAATAGCATTCTATTTTTGGGATTTGGTTGGTTAAGATAAAAATAAAGTATTTGGCAAGCAGTATACATAGGATATTTCCAAGAAATGTAGATTGAGAATTAGGGTTTGGAGCATTTGATGTTAAATAATTTAATTCACAACATGAATTGAGATCAAATGAACCACATTCAGTTGATTAATCATAAACCCCACATACTTATAATAATAATAATAATAATTAAAGATGGATTTATTAAGCATAACCCCACTAACTAAATAAGGGATTAGGTAAGTAATTAATTTGAAGAAGAACAATTATAAATGGAAGTTGGAGATGTGATTTGTCTAAAAACTTGTACTAAGATGTTCATTATTATTAAATAAATGGATGCAAATGTCTCAACCACCAAATTAATTAATTAATCAATCTTCATCCTCAACCACTACTAACTCAATTGATTAATTCCAAACAAAACATTACACAGAGAGCACCACCAATTTCAGCCAACACAAAGAGGATTACAATCACCTCTTTTGTTGGAGCCTTAATCTCTAACAAATACAAGTACAATTTTCAATTCTATAGCCTTTAGTTTCTCTCGATTAATTAATTAATTACCAAGTACGTTTAGCTCAAAGTAGACAATATTATACGTTTCTATGAATATCGTGTGCCACGGGTTTGTTTGTGGGTGTGTGTGTGGTTTGACTCTCTTCTTTTATCCTTAGGGTTGGCCTAGTGCCTAGTGGTCAAGAAGGTTTAATTCCTTCATTGACTTTTTGCGATAAAACTACCTTAAGGTTACCTACTATATTTGTTATTTACTTGAAATATTGGGTTTATAAAGTGTTCAATGAGCCTTAAAGATTACTTGAGGTGCACGCAAGTTGGCCTGGACATCCCGATTATTAAAAAATAAAATAAAAAGTGAGTTCTATCTATACTTATTTATCATCGCCAAAATGTTGGTGGACTGTTATAGTGAATATATGTGTTTGGACCCTCTTCTTCATTCATATTGTAATACTAATTTGAGTGAGAAAATTAGATAAATTCAAGCCTTTATTGGGATGTAGTTATTGGCTTGTTTAAAGATTAACAAAATGATATGATTATTAGGTTGTAGTTATTGACCTGTTCATATAAATAAAGATTAACCAAATGATATGAAGTAGTGTTGTGAATTTGAAGTTATTAACTAAATCATATACTTAGATGTTGAATCCCTACTTTAGTAGATATTGCTTTATGGTGGGGACTTGTATAAATTTTCCAGATAAAAGAAGTGGGCACAAAGCAATTACCCTTGTTTTAAGGCAACTATAAATCACCTCATGAAAGGTGATGCCCAGGCCATCATGTTTCTTNTACTGATACTGCAGCCACCTGGGTGGTATACATCATGCCACAGATTTTATCCAAGAAATGGGTAATATGACAAATTTAAGAACATCAAAGGAGATAAATTATACCATTCTATCATGGATTCAAATATTCACCGATTAAACAAATTCTGTTATCGCTTTAACAGGGCATGTATATCAACATTTCTGTTTATCAGTGACCATACGATATCAACATTTCAAACTTAATATAGTTTATCAATTATTAAACGATTGCCTTTAAAATTATGCCAATGTACCGCATGGATCAATTGCTAATTACAACCAATCAAAGGCCAACAGAAGAAATCAATACATCCTGAATTTTTCCTTTGTCTTCTCAAACACCTGTTCTGCTATGGCAGCCCCATTGCCATCTGCTCTTTTGATCTCCAATTGAGACTTTTGATAGAAGCCAGTTCCCCTTAATGCATCTGCAATAAAATCATCAAACCCAATAGCGATGGCCGCTTCAGCCTTGGCTCCATAAACCAGCCTCTGTTTGACATCAAAGTACTATAAAACGTTATGTCCAACATCCAAATTGACAGGAAAGAGAAGAAAAGAGATAAGGAGCAAAGGGGTTTGACCTTAATTCGCGAAAGGTGGATTGCACCAAAGCACATAGGGCAAGGCTCACAGGAGGCATATATCTCACAGTCTGAGAGCTCAATCTTATTGAGCTTCTTACATGCCTGGTAACAATATATTATCACACACAATGAGAATCATTCGACCACACTAAGGAAACACAAACTGGTGACAATTATGAAATTTTTTACAGAAGCATTAATGAGCTCAGACTAAGTGCACCCCAATCATATTTCATAAAAGCACCAGCACTTAGTTAGGGGCGATGATACATGTACATGAGCAGATCCTTAAGGTCTGACAGACTTTTGTGAGGTCAGAGAAGAGTAAACTTGGTTACCCTTGCTATCCCTGCTATAGCTATATACCTTATTACTCAATATATTATCACACACAATGAGAATCATTCGAACACACTAAGGAAACACAAACTGGTGACAATTATGAAAATTTTTACAGAAGCATTAATGAGGTCAGACTGAGTGCACCCCAATCATATTTCGTAAAAGCAACATTGATAAAAGCACTAGCACTTAGTTAGGGGCGATGTTAAATGTACATGAGCAGATCCTTAAGGTCTGACAGACTTTTGTGAGTCAGAGAAGAGTAAACTTGGTTACCCTTGTTATTCCTGCTATAGCTATATACCTTATTACTCAATAAATCTAGAGAAAATATGGTATCATGGATGCAAGCATTCTCCGTCTCTAGTTCATCACCTAAAGACATATTTTCCTCAAACTGACAATCAGATGCGATTATAACTAGAAAACAAATATCGCTTCCATATAAAAAGTTTAAAAGCACAAGTTGTACTGCCGAACTTTAGATTATATATTCTACATAAATCACTTTCATATAAAAAGTTTAAAAACACAAGCATTTTCCGACAGAAAACAAATGTCACCTCCATATTGTTTACTCATTAAACCACACAAAGCAACCACTACACAGACAGTCATGCATTCTCTGTCAAATATAAACTCGTTTTTTCAAATTAAGGTCTTGAAGCTCCTCTTGCACATGTCTAATTCAACTATGGGAGATAAGAACATTGGGGTAGGGATCTGTTTAAATAAACAGCAAACAAAAATCTCAGCTTCATCTTTCTTCTTGGTGCATCAAGGAAAATCCTATGCATGTAATGCTATTTCAAATTAACTATAGCTCAATGTCAAGGAATGAATCATGTAAAATTGAAGAATGTAATTTAAAAAGACTCCAAAAAAAGGAGTCATCAACCAATTCTAAATACAAATCAACTATCAACAGTTTAGGTATGGCTCCAACGGTTTGAGATAACAGACAAGTCAACAAAGTATTCAAACATGTAATTCATGAAATTATGACCACCAATCCAGAACTTCTACTTTCACAGTACTTTCGGCGTCTTGGCTGTGGATAGAATCTAAAGAATTAGTGAATTACAGTCACCTAATCAGATAAGACTCAAAGTAACTCCTAGGTGACAGCCATTGAATGGGGAGTCTCAGCTCTTGGGTTGTAAAAGTACCAAGTAACAACAATGTTCTGTTGTTTGACTATCCTATAAGCTAGAAAATTTCAGACGGTAAAGGTTTTGAATTTTGATATTTTTAAACAACCAATTAAAAACAAGAAAAATTGAAGTAATATGAGCAAGATATTAGGTTTCTTCCATTCAAGTGAATTGGTGAAGGTCATTATAAGGGTCGTTGAAGATAATGGTAAACATAATTTCAAGCACAGTTGCAAATGCCATATAGTATAGACAATGCTAATGATGTCACACCAACAACCATCTTTGAAAAATGAAAAATATTGAAGCAAATATTCCGACCTCTCTCACTGCAGTGACCTCCGCATGAGCAGTAGGATCTGTGTTCTTCAAAACCATGTTGTGACAACTCACAACAACTTCATCATTACGTACAACAACAGCACCAAAAGGACCACCATGTCCACATTCAACCCCTTTATACGCTTCTTCAACAGCTTTGGTTAAGAATTTGTGATCTCTGTCCTGAACAGCTGGTTGATCAACATAAACATGATATAACGAATAAATTTCAAAACCTACCGGTTATTCAATAACAAATAATAGAGAAATGAACAACATTACCTTCCTGATGTCCAGCAAATGCAGAAGCCACAGAAATAGTTCCCTCCTTTGTCTCCACCACTGCAATCATAAGGCAGGCAAAGATTACGTCTTAGAGTAATCAAGTTAACAACACTCAATAAAGCCTTTAACTGGAATCAGAAGGTTACCAAAAAAAAAAAAAAAAAAAATCAATTAAATTTATGAAAAAGTTGCATAGGATTGAAGAAATTAATTTATAAGAGAATCCCATTATAATTGTGGTCATATGGTAGCAGCCTTCGACAAAAGGTATTGGGTTTTGATGCAAATAGTCAAAAGGTTAACCGTGTTTGTATTTCTCTTAAATAAAAGAGCGTGGAATCAGATAAAAAATAAGAGAAACATAATAGTTATACAGTAAAAGCATTTCAAAGAAGCGGGGAAAGGGTTGAATTGAAGAGAGAAGAAGTAGAAAGACGATATGACGCAAGAGAGATTACCATTAGCTTCTTCCATGATGATGATGATGAAGAAGCGAGAGAGAAGTGAAGGAAAAAGAGAGATGAAAGTGAGCGAAGGAATGAAAAAGAATGAGTGTATATATCTTCTGAATGAGGAGGAGATGGAGATGCAGATACAGAAACAGATACAGATGCGGATGCAGATGAAGGAAAATATGGAAAGACAAAATCACAAAAATAATAGTTGGGAGACGCTGATTCAGGTCCACATATTATAAATATTTAAATTACGTTAACGTGTTCACATGTAAAAGTTGGGTTGGGCCCATCCAACTAAATTCTTGTTTTTCGTCCCTTAATAAGCATATACAATATCAATTTTCTCACGCTTACCTTACTCAAAATTGTAAGATAACATAACATCAATGATTTAATATCTTCCCAAAAATGAAAATTATTTGTTTTCAAATTTCACACTAATTGGGATATTGGAAAAACATTTAACGAATCCATACTATTCTTTCTATGTTTGAAGAAAAGAAGGATTCCAAAAAATTCATCTTTTTTTTAGTTATTAAATATTCTCAGTTATTTTACTTAAGAACAGTACTACATTTACAATTTTTTGATACAACATTTTTATACAACTCTGATATGTTAATTCATGATTAATTAATTTAAAGTGGATTTTGTTTGCCTAAATACGAGTTAATCAAATCATAAGTTGCTATATTAAGATTGTATAAAAAAATTGTATGAAAAAAATTATAAATCTTTATTGTTTATCTTTCAAATACAAAAACCTTTTTAACCATCCGAGCCCAAAACCTAACCTATGGGCCCATCCCAAAATTTGACAAACCTACGGGTCCAGTCCAGGTGTGTGGGGATGGGGACGCCGGGACGGAATCTTATTCGTTTCATCAGCCATCCTTGGTGTAGACATAGTTTGCAGTTGGATTGGATCGTTGTTGGAGACATTATGTGGAGGGGTGGTGGTGGTTGCATAGATTTGTTCAACGCACAACCGGTGGCGGTAGCTCTGTCTGTCAAACAGAACCCTCTCCACTGGGGGTTTCCACCTCTTTCAACCAAAAGGAGTGCTTTCTCAGTATCTGTCTCACCAACACCACTTTCAAACTCCATTAATGCTGTTAGTACCCTTAAACAACGACCGCAACTCTCCTTCCTTTCTTCTACTTGTTCATCACCTCCTGCTCCCCCTCCTCCTCCTCCTCAATTGGCTCTTCTCTCCCTCCTCTTCGTCCTCTCTACGGTATTTCCTTATCAATCTAAATCTCCTTTTTTTTTTTTTTTTTTCTCAGCTTTGTATACATTCTCAATTTCATGTCTTTTATTTCAAACCTCTCCAGGCTATTGGAGCAATTTTCTCCTTGGCTATTATTTCAATTCCTACCTTGATGGTAAGTTTTGTTTATTTGATTAAGTCGGTTCTGTTTCATCCCTACCTCTTGTAATTTCAGTTTATTTTTCTGTTGTGTACAGACTTTTAAGAAATTAGGTGTCTCGGTGGATAAATTGTCCAAAGTAGTTTCTGAAGAAGTGCCCGGAACCTTATCTTCCCTCAAACTTTCTGGATTGGAGATTAATGAATTGACTCGACAACTTACCAATCTCAGGTATTTCATTCCCCATTTAATGCAACTTTTAATTGTCTTTTGATGATTGATTTGTGTGTTTTCATTTTCAAGGCAAAAGATTTCTGGTACTCCCTTTGCCAACAAAAGCAGAAGCAATAACCCCACAAGTAAAAGCGGCGATTGATTTCACTTCTGTTTTAGGTTAATTAAGTCATCCATCCCTATGTGATCTCCGTTAAGCTCTATGTTGTTTTAAAGTTTGTTCCTTTAGGCTTTAGACATTTTCTATTGTTTCTCTTGTCCATATGGATGGTTTGATTGGTTTCCAACTATATATAAGAGAGTCAACTTGTTCCAACTTCTAAAGCCAAGTAATAAGCAGGGCTGGAGACAGTTGTGCAAATCGTCTCATTATTAGTTGTAAAGAAAAGCATTCAGTGCATAGATCTGAAACTGTGGTGGATTTCTTCAATTTATATACTACGAATGGGTTTCACTAAATTTATTTGGTGTTGAAATTTAAGGCGACATCAACCTCGGCTCTGCTACTTTATATATTGAAATTTACGAGAAATGCAGTTGTAATGGCAGCGGACTTATTAACAACATTGATTGAGATTGGTAACTCAGAAACGAGATGAGCATAATGATATATTACTTTCCAAACAAGTGTCAAGCATAATGATCCACTCAAGTAATAAGAGAAGAGAATAGCCTGCTTCACAATTTAGCAACCATTTTGAGAATATCTCCAGCATCTTTGGCATTATCAGGTACAGGCATGTTGGCTACAAGAGTAACTCTAGAGGAAGAAACCATAGACTTTATGTCTGAGTTTGAAGGATCAATTTTCCAGAGTCGAACCTCCCATACCTGAATGGTCTTTCCAACATTGATGGGGGAAGCCTCAGCATAAACAAGATCACCAAGCTCAGCACGTTTCAAATGATTAATGCTAAGGTGAATACCAGCCACTCTACTGAAACCAGATGCCATGTGGGCCCCTATGCTAGCCAACGACTCCGCTATCAACGCCGACACACCACCGTGTAACACCTTGAACGGCTATGTTCAATAATTCAACTCAATTCTTCAATCTAAAACAAACGATTGCAAAAGAAAAGAAAAGAAAAGAAAATTTATAAGCTAACCTGGCATGTCTTTTCGTGAACTCTAAGGCGGCCTGTGACTCTATGCGGGGTTAATTCATCAATTTCAAACCCAATAGAATGGAGGGGAGCATCGACTTTGGCTGTCTTGTTGGAGGACGAGGATGATTCCTCCATCAAATTCAAAGTTGAAGCTTCCTTCTTTCTTCCAAAAAGGACCACAAATAAGCAACAAGAAGATTTGTTTACTTTTATTTGTTGTTGGTGGGGTGGTAGGTGGAGGCTGTGGAATGATGCAGCAGTGGTAGGTGATTATATCATCTCCCAATTACAATTCCAAAGTATGGGCAAATTAATCAACCGTTGTCCTTTTCAATGTCTTATTCAATTCTACAAACAATTTGATGCTATCCCTAAACCATTACTTTAATGACATTCTTCTACCTTCCATTGTCTATCTAATTCTAACAACCCCCACCCCACTACATCTACTCCAATTTCACTTCTCTCAGACCCAACATCATTCATTACTTCATCAAAAGGGTTTATTGTGTTGGACCCCCAAAGCTTGGCCGGAAACTTCCCCACACCCTTCCCAACAACCAAATTTAGGGAAATTAACACTCTCGCCCCAAAATAGGGTTTCTGTAAACTAAATATGAAGGTACAAGGGGTAGAAATCTGATAGTTTTAGACAAAACAGTTGGCTTGTGATCGTTTGACTAAACACCCTAGTACTATTGTATTTTTTGGATGTAAAAAGGTCTACAGTTTCTTTAAAATATTATTTCTATCTCCTATACCGTTAACCTCCATTTGCGATAACAATGTTAGTTTCCCAAAATTAGGGAAAAACTTTTTACACAAAATCTCGGAGGTGACCCTTATCATTGAAATTGCCCTTTTTAACATTTTTCAGATGTGTACATGGTTAGTTTTTATTACATAGAGAGATTATCATCATATCTGACACTGAGAAAGAGTTAAATCTCACTTAACGTGGGTCAAATCTGTAAGTATTGGTGTTGGCATGGGATATAGAGAGCGTGTGCAGCCTGAACCTGAGTTAAGACATCTGCCATTTTATAATGTCAAACAACACAATCATATGTATTGATTGAATCATCAAGTTGACTTTATATATATTCATATGGATGTTTACAATAATGTGCAAGCCTCTAATTCTATCAAAACAATTTTCTTTAATCCTTGCAAAAGAGTCTTTTCTTTCTATAGGATTTTAAGTCTGAATTTTAGCAGAAAGAGCAATCAACATGATTGAGACTGAATTAAAGGTGGCTCTTCTTTAGTTAATTAATCCTCTACAACTTTAATATATCTCCACATTCTCAGAGGAAGAATACAAATGCTAGAATTTCCTTAATGAAAGGATTAGATTGATGAGAAATAGAGGTGATAGCATGCATCATGCTCAAAACGTAAACGATGCTTCATCGGCCTCAACATATGGGCTCTTCATAATAAAATCATGTTTTCATATGGAAGGAATATCGTTTAACCGATAATTAATAACCTCATGTTTTTTGTCGTGTCACATTTGTACACCTCTATAAATATCAATGCAACAAGTTGTCTCTTCGAACATTAAAATATGTTTTCATTGGATATGATGTTCATCAAAAGGGGTATCGCTATTACCATCCTCCAACTCAGCAAATGTTTGTAACCATGGATGTTGTGTTCCATGAAGAATTGATGTATTTTTCTTCTGAGTCTAAACTTTATGGTGAGTATTGTTAGGAAGAAATTCAGATGTTTGTCTATGCTGTTCAAGATGTGGGAGACTATGAGTCATAGATTAGACCTATTGATCGACAAGAAAATGAAGTGGATGATGAAAATGTCAAGGTGGTATCTCCATACGAAGAAACTTCATCTCAATCCAAGTCTCTCGTTCCTGGTATGTCACAACCATCATTCGTTGCAAATGTCCTTGATTTAGAGTCTGGACCAATTTAGTCTAAACCAATTAGAAATCAATTACCATCACGGAGTACTAGAGGGATTCCTAAACCAATATACGAAACTGAGCTATCTAGTAAGGTCAAATCCCCATAAGTCATTATGTGTCTAACCATCGTCTATTAGAATCAAATTTGTCATTTGTGAAACAATTATCTACCATATCGATTCCTAACAGTGTGTAGGAAGACTTATCTGATCCAAAATAAAAAGATGATGTGAATGAAGAGATGAAATCATTATAGAAGAAAGAGACTTGGGAACTTGTTGATCGTCCACTAGGAAAGAAGACTGTTGGATGTCGATAGGTTTACACTATGAAATATAAAGTTGATGATACGATTGAACAATTTAAAGTAAGACATAGCACAAGGGTACACCCAAACTCATGGGATAGACTACATAGAGACATTTGCACCCATAGCCAAAATCAATACAATACGTGTCTTGTTATCTTTGGCTGTAAACCTGGATTGGCCATGACAACAGTTCGATGTAAAAAATGTTTTCCCATATGGAGAATTATCTGAAGAGATCTATATGGATCCTCCATCAGGGTGTATTTTACCAGGAAAGCATAACCAAAAGGTATGTAGGTTAAAGAAGTCACTGTATGAGTTAAAACAATCTCCGAGGGCATGGTTTGGGAGGTTCACCAAAACTATGAAGTTTTTTAGCTACCATTAGAGTAATTTAGATCACACATTGTTCCTTAAAGAATAGCAAGGAAAGATCACTGCACTTATTGTATATATGCATGATATGGCGGTTATAGGAAATGATCAAGAAGAAATGAAGGCTTTGCGAAAGTACTTGTCAAAAAAATCCGAGATAAAAGAGACCTAGGTTCTTTGAAATATTCTTTCGAAGTCAAAGTGTCTCGATCTAAAAAATGTATATTTCTATCACAAAGAAAGTATGCCTTGAATGTGTTGCAGGAAACTGGTATGTCAGCATGTCAACTAGTTGATACACTAATCGAAGAAGGTTTAAAATTAGGAGTCGAGACTAATCAAGTACCAGTTGAAAAAAGGGAGATACCAGAAATTGTTAATCGTTGGTGGGGTTTATGCAGCAAAAAATAAATAAATAAATCCCCACACAACAACATATATGCCAAGCAACTTATACCAGATTTACGTTATTTGTATAAGAAGTAAAAATTCAAAATTATACCTAAGTTTGGAGGCTCCTTCTTGCGATGCGGATCGCTTCCACTCTAAGCCGCAAGAGTGCACTTCTGGTATCCACATGAAGACAAGACGGGTGATCTCCTTGCGATCTCAAGTATTAGCAAGAATGCAAGGATCAAGGATGCTGAATTTTTCTTGGAAAAATTCTCTTCTCCGCCTAGAGAGAAAACATGAGAGACAAGGAGAGAGGGGTGGCTAGGGTTTCTTTTATTTTGCAAAGGGTTTTTTTTCATTTAATTTTTAGTTGCACACTAAAAAACCTAACCTAATATATATGGAATAGCAATCTACCTATTCCATATTAAGATTAGCAATATTTCAATACCAAACAAAGCATTTCAATTCAAATTTAAAGTGCTAAACCCTAAACCCAAATTTAAAAATTAAACTTGAATTCCATATTATCAAAATTAATATTAATAAATACTAATATTAAATAATATGTATATATATATACACAATCTCACTAATTTAATTTCCATATGAAATTAAATATAGACAACAACTTTAGCAAATTTAATTGCACTATGATATTACCTAAATGCCCTTTCATCTTAAAAGGCAAAAATACCCTTTCATCATAAATGACGAAAACACCTCCCCTCACTTATTCATCCTTAATATGTATTCTATGTGTGTGACTCGAAGGCTCCTTATCATATCGATAGTGATTAGTCTCGCGATTGACACCAATCAATCATCTCACTAAACACAGACTAAGATTGGCCTCTAGCAAGACATCATAGCCACCTGATAGATTCAGATTCAGCGAAACAGCTTACCTATCAATGATGTGGGCACCGTGCAATTCAATCATTTCATCATCTATTATCTCATCAAAGGCCGAGGCACAGAAGTAGTGTCAACCTCGAATATCCTTGATATCTTGGTATTCGGTTATTAGACCAACGACCGAAATAGATTGGATTGAGCTACAATTTAATCCCACTGTGGCCACAGACTAAATGTCATCTCCATCTACCAAATCACTCAACGAGATAATTTCTCCCGTACTTAGGAGTGATGAATCCTCTATTAATCCACCATAGTATTGTACACATTTCGATGTAGCTAATCACTACCGTTCTGATATCTCTAAATAGAACTACGTTGGGCTAATGTCAAACTACACCAATTGGTGCACAAGACGCTCCAACGATCTCAAGTCTAAGGATCACATGTACCACCATTCGTTAAAAGATTTATTCCACAGACACTGGGGTTACAATCTATGTAGAATCCTCTAGTGGGTATGTCCAGTGAACTCGCCTATGACAAACACCTATGTGTTGTACCAAGTTATCGACAAACAACCTTGACAAGTGAGATTTGTCATCCATGATAGTCTTACTATATTATCTGTGTCTTTAGTCAGAATAATACTAGGGCTCCAGACGTTTATAGAATAGTCACCATATGTGATCATAAGTTCCTCACTATCGAGATTTGAAACATTCGATACCCTCGTCACAGTTCTACCATTCTAAGAACATACATCATAATATATATTAAATACAAATTACATAATGTAGAAAATGCCTTTTATTAATTATAAACACTATTGCAAGAGTCAACATTTATAAAATGAATTGGCTCTAGGACACCTACTCTAACACAGACTTGTGGGAAGATTGATATACTTATCTCACACTAGGCAAGATCTTGCTTATGCATTAAATATAGTCAGTCAGTTCATTCATAATCTTGAAGAACAACATATGAACGCAATTACGCACATCTTGAGATATTTAAAACATGCTCATGGAAAGGGAATTCTATGTACTAAAAATAAGGACTACCAAAATGTGAATGCATATACTAATGCTGATTGGGCTTGAGTAGTGGATGACAGATGATCTACTTTTGGTTATTTCATTTTTGTAGGTGGTAATCTAGTCATGTGGAGAAGCAAAAAATAAAATGTTGTGGCATGGTCAAGCGCTGAAGTAGAATTTAGGGGAATGACACTTGAGATTTGTGAAGTTTTGTGGCTAAGATTTCTCCTACAAGATTTGGGCTATCAATCTAATCAATCAATCCAATTATATTGTGACAATAAAGTAGCATATGAGAGTACTCACACTACAACATTATAGACATATAGCTAC